CGACGAGGGAGGTGCTGCGGCTGCACCCGGCGGCGCTGCGGCGCCTGTCGGCTTGCGACGCGCCCGCCGTCTTCCTCGCCGGCTGCCCCCTGCTCTCCGAGCTGATGGCCGGGGCGCCCCTGCTGGAGAGGCACGGCCGGGCTCCCGAGAAGGGAGGCCGCAGCTGCTGCCGCCGCCCGCCCGCCCGCCCCGCCGGCCCGGGCGTCCCGCCTTCGCGTTCGATGCGGTGGGGGCGTTGGTTACGGAATGTGCACAGGAGGCTCCAGACCCTGGAGGATTCCTTGTCTCGATGAGGGCGGAGGCGATACTCATGGCCGATCCGCAATTGGAATGCCGCTTGCTTCCAGACCCAGGATTCCTTATCCAAGGTTTCCTTATCCAATGCCTCCGCCGTGCCGGAGCTCAAGGAAGGGGGGTCAAGGCAGGCGGGGGTCAGCCAGGGCGCCGGAGCTTGCAGAATGCAGCGGAGCCAGGGGTGCACACTGACCCAGGCTTGCATGCAGGTTCCTGCAGGATCTGACAGGATCCTGCAAGGCCCGACGGACCCGGGTTTGCACCGACCTTGGTCAGGAGATCCGCGATGATTTGTCGTCGCTTGCCTGAAGAGCCGAGGAGCCAAGGAGCCGAGCCGAGACAGGGCTGGCTCCCGAGGAGGGAGGCCGCAGCAGTGGGGCCAGCGCAGGTGATCACGAGCGGCGAACATATGGCGCCGTCCATCTTGTTCGCGTCACACAGACTCTGTGTTGGAGCTGCGGTTATGGCAAACACGGGGTCACATTAGCCCAGTTGGGCTCCCGAGGGTTCCGCCCGAGGGCTCCCGAGAGGGAGGGGTCGCACAGCATATCCGCCAACACGGGTGTGTGACCGCCGCAAGGTGGCAACGCCACACAACGGACGCGGCCATGTTCGTACCCGCGCCCTCGCGGTCGGGACTCGGGGGCGCGGTCCCGCGGATACGCGGTCGCACGGCGGTATGTTCCGCGCGGGGCGTCCTCGAGGAAGCGCCCCGTAGCCGCAGGGTCGCGGCCCAGGGTCTCGGCCCGCGGGGCCGCGGGCACGGACACGTGTTTTTCCCCCGCGAGGTGGGGCCGCAGGGCGAGACGCCATCGTGCGGTCGAAATCGATGATGAGGATGGGTAGGCTTCCCCCCCTTGCCAGGGCACCCTTGCGTCCCTGCCACCTCGGTCCAGCCTTGATGACTCTCAATGGCCAGCTCTGCTCGAAAAGTGTCGGCATGGGCGTCCAAGGAGCTTGCATCCCTATCGCGCATCCTTGCTATCAGTTTTGACTGCATCAGCCGGGAAGGCTTGAGGCCGAAAGAAACAGTGACCGAACACGTGCCCGAAGTTGTGACCGAAGACGCCCGATTTTCGGTCACACTTCGGCGGTTAAAACATTTTGGGCGCCAGCTTCGGTCACACTCGGGCAGGTTTTCGAGCACACATTCGGCCACTGCACCCCCCTGATAGAGACGAGGCTCAGCGACAATCGTACATTGGTAGTCGGATGTTGGCAACATCCGACTAGCAGGCGTATTGGGGCCCCAGATATTGAGGGTTCTTGAACCAGGAGTACTTCTGGCAACTTGCCAGAAGTACTCCTGGCTCAAGAGTCCACAGTATTTCCAAGGAGGCCCCCACGGCCATCGGCGGCCAGCCTGGGGGGGAAATCAGAGGGGGCGGGCCTTCTCAGAAGGCTCGGAAGTCTTCGGGCCTTCTGAGAAGTTTTCTTAGCTTTCCTTCTCAGAAGGCTGATGGGCTTCTGAGAAGCCCCACCGCCTTTTGACAAGGCCTCCTCCTTCTCACTTCCCCCCTCGCTTGCCGTCGAAAGCGCCCCTCACGAGGCCGAAACGGCGCAAGGGAACCTCAGGGGCTCTCGAGGACCGTCTTGGCAGCGCGTCGGCATCAGTTCGGGCCGTCTTGGAGCTCTCGGTGGAGGCCCGGGCCAGCTCGATGGAGCCTCAGCCCCAGAATCTCCTCCAGCACTCCAGACCCCATGCTTTCGGACCACTCCTCCTCAATCCTGGATCCTCGAACCTTCCTCATCGACGACCCTCGAGATCTGGTCCAGTTCGATCTCGGCGTCACTTTTGCGGAGGGCGGGCGGCCCCCCTCAAATGGGTGCCATTTTTTGAAAGACCGGTTCCCATAACATCCCCTTCCGGTTGATTGGGACCAGTCCCCTTGAAATACCTCTCCGTGTTATAGGGGCCGGTTCCCTTAGAATAGTTATCGTTTTATGGGGATCCGTTCGCCTAAAATACCTTTCGGTTTTATGGGGGTTGGTCCCCGCAGAATGCGTCCCAATTGAAAGGGGACGGGTTTCCCTGAAATCCTTTGCCGCGTTGCGGGGCCGGTCTCCATGAATCGCCTCCCCGTTTTATGGGGAGTGGGCCCCATGCAAATGACGCCCACTGCATCTGCATCCTCGCTTCAAGACGGCCCCAAGATCCCAAGACGCCCCAGGAGGGGGCCGAACGCGAATGCGTCTCTTGGGCCTGCCTTGCCAAGGGGGCCCCGAGATCGCCTTCAGGCCGCCGAGGCGCGCCCAAAAGGCCAGAAGGTCCCGCGGGTTGCGCAGGGCGGCCCAGGGGTCATCCATGAGATCCCAAGGAGGCCCCAAAAAGGCCCTCAGAGGCCGTCCAACGAAGGCCAAGACGCAACGGAGGCGCCCAGCTCACAGCCCAAGCACCTCGAACCACCCTCCTCCTCGATCCTCGATCCTCGATCCTGACATCTCCTTCTCGACGACCTCAGGGCGCTCCTCCCGAGGCCACCCATCCAGGCGCCACTTTCACGAGGGGCGGTCCCCCTTGAGATGGGTGGCACTTCTGTGAAGGCCGGTACCCATAACGATTCCCTCCAGCTTTATTGAGACCAGTCGGGGGTGGACAGAACCCCCAATAGTGACACGTCGATTAGTGAATTGTCCGTTTTTGGTTCTCGAGAGAGCGCCGTGGCCGTTATTTTCCAGGCCTGCGCCCGCCAGGTTTGGGCCTCAGGTCGTTTTCACTAAACCACGTTTTGCTAAAGGGGGGTCTGTCCATCCCCGAACCAGTCGCCTTAGAATGCCTCAGTAATCTTATACTTGTCTCCATAAAGGTGCCTTTTCCGTGTTGCGGGGGCCGGGGCCCATCGAATCGACGTTCAATTCAGTGGGATCTTTGCTCCGAAGCTCCACCGAACGCCTAAACGGGGCTCAATGGGCTCCCGAGAAGGCCCAAGAAGGCCGAAGAAAGAACACTCGAAGGCATCGGAGCACTTCGTCCAGGGATGGCCCGAATATCGTGTTCAGACCGCTGAGGGGCGCCCAAGTGGACTCCACGGGCATCCAAGAGGCCCCAGGAGACCCAATGAGAAACTTGGAGGCTGAGAGCGAGCTCTCGAGGAGTCAGCCTGAAATAACAACCAACACAACGACCGTCCTTAGGTACTTGATAGTGAGTACTTTCTCGGTTCGGAAAACTCTCAGACGTTACGGACGGTCTTCTCTCAATCGGCATGATGGAATCGGCTCGGTTCGGTTCGGTCCGGTTTTGCAGCCAGTTCGGTTTGCTTGGCCGGTTCGGTTTGAGTCCTGTTCCGGTTTTCGCGCGGTTCGGTCCTATCTGTTCGGTTCCGTTCGATTGATGGTCTTGTCCGACTTGGCACGACCGGTCCAGTTCGGTGCGATTAGCGACGTTGGGCGCCCCGTCCGCGCAACTGACGGCCCACTTTGAACAGAAAGGAGGAGGAGGGCGAGGAGGAGGAGGAAGAAGAGGAAGAGGATGGGGGACACGGTGTAGGAAAAAACGAGGAGCAGGGCCGCGGCCCCGCGGCGCCCGGCGGCGAGGTGATCGGCCGCGGCGCCCGGCGTCGTCGTCGTCGTCGTCGTCGTCGTCGTCGTCGTCGTCGTCGTCGTCGTCGTCGTAGTCGTCCCCCTCGTCGTCGACGTCGTCGTCGTCGTCGCCAGCGTCGTCGTCGTCGCCGCCTCAACATGGTTGCCTCCGCCTCCCTCTCCTGAGAGGGCCGCCGGCCGCCGTCGCCGACGACGACGCCGGGGGGGGCCCCCAAGGAGGCCCCGAAGGGGGCCCCGAGGGGCCCGCCGAAGGGGGGGGTGGCCACGGGGGGCATCGCCGCGGTGGGGGGGGGTCGCCACAGCGGGGGGGCCCCCGTGGAGGGGGTCGCCGCGGGGGGAGGATCGCCGCGGGGGGGGGGGTGGCCGCGGAGGCCCGGGCACCCCGGCGGCGGCCCCAGCCCTCGCGCGAGGGGGCCGCCACAGGGGCCCGCCCTCCCGCGGTCCGCGACGGACCCTCCGCCGCCGCCGCGCCGGGGCCGCTGCGCCATCGGGGGGATCGCCGCGGCGGGTGTCGCCGCGGGGGGGGCCCTTCCCTCAAGCCTCTTTCGGTTTTCCCGCCCCGACCCGCCCCGACCAGCCCCGACCTGCCCCGACCTGCCCCGACCTGCCCCGGCCTGCCCCGACCTGCCCCGACCTGCCCGGGGCTGCCGCGTTGTCCTCATTCTCGTCATGGTCATCGTCGTCACCGCTTGCACATATCACATATTAGCTCAAGCTGTGGCATTGGCTGCCTCGAGCGTTGTCGTCTTCCGTCCTGCGGTCCTGTGTGGGCTGGGTTGGGGCGTCCAGTTCGTTTCCCGTCGGTTCGGTTCGGGGGCCGCCCGGTTCCGGTTCGGTTGCGGCTCTGGTTCGGTTCGGTTCCTCCCGCTTCTGTTATGAATGAATTCGGTTCGGTCCGTTGTTTTGTTCTTTCTGTTTTCGTCCAATTCTGTCGGGTCTGGTCACGGTTATCGGTTATCGGTTTGGTTTGGCCCCTTAATGCTTGGGTTCGTGATAGACATGGCGCGGCCCACTTGGATTTGGCGCGCGGGAGAGACATATATCGAGAGATGATAGAGAAAAGGAGAGCGATAGAGATAGAGAAAAGGAGAGAGAGAGAGAGAGAGAGAGAGAAAAAAAAAAAGAGGGGGAGAAGAGAGTGAGAGAGAGGGAGGGAAATCCGCAGCCATTTTTGCTCAATCCGTTTGGTTCAATAGGGAGACATTTTGGCTCGATCGATCGCACGGGCTGCCTCGCGACTTGTCCTGGAACGTGCGACGTCGGCGCCTAGAGGTTCTCCTGCTGCGCTGGGCGGCGCCGACCTGGTGGAGGCGGCTGTTCGCGCGGCGATCGTGGCGAACGGCGCCAGGCTCGCGGTGGCTGCGGTGGCCCGCGCGACGGCTGCGGCGGTGCTTTCGGCGCGCGCGGCGTCGTCGCCGCCTGCCGCCGCCCGCCCGGTTGCAGGCGCCCCTCTCGAACCAGCTGCTGCTGCTCCGCCTGCTGCCGCTTCGGCGGCCAAATGGGAGCGGTGGCGACGCCGCCGGCAGCGCTTCGCGCTTCGACGGCGAGATGCCGCTGGGGTGGATGCTGGTGCTGGGCTGGCGGCTCCTGCTGCCCTCCCGCTGGTGCTGGTGGCTGGAGGCGGCGAATCCTTCCTGACAGCCTCCGAGCAGAGCCTCGAGGACTCTGGGGCTGATGGAGCTGCGCCCCTGCTGCCGAAAGGGCAGGATGCCGCTGCGGTGGGCGCGCTGGCGCTGGCGGCGGCCCCGCTTGCGGAGGAGACGCCCGCCCTGGCGCCTGCGACTGCCGCTGCGGGGGCGGCGGCCCCGCCGAAGGCCAAGGAGTCATGGGAGGGCGCGAAGCGCGCGTCTCCTCGCGCGGCTCGGCGCGGCGCCTGGCTTTCGCGAGGGGCTGCTCTGGGCCGCGACCCCGCTCGACAAGCTGCGCCTGGTCGTCGGGCAGCTCCAGGGCCCGGGCAGCGCGGTGCAGTCCTCTCCTGGAGGCTGCATTCGGGACGTCGGCCTCTGGGTGCGGCCTCGGCGCAGGTTCCGCGGCGAGGCGTATGCCGCCCCTGCGGGGGGACTGGTCCTGCGCGGGAGTGTCGGCCTCGGGGTGCCCGGAGGCTGGCAGAGGAACGCAGCGGCCGCCTCTCCCCCCTGCTGCTGCTTGCTGGCCCGCCTCGGCCCTGTCCTTCCCCATCGCGCGGAGGGGATTGGGAGGAGGGGGAGGGGAAGGAGGCAAACTTCGGAGGAGGAGGAGGTACCCAATCCGCTACCCTTGCCTCGATTTTCCCTTTCTGGGCCTCCCGGGAGGCCCTCGTCGCCACCGCTGGATTCGCCTCGAAATTTAGAGCGCACACCACGAGAGTTTCGGGGAGTAGCGGTTGTAGCGGTATCGGTATGTATTCTTTGGTTCCCCCGGGGTTGGGTGCGTTCGCGCCACATCTACATCCTACTCATCCTGCCCATGCCATTCTTTCCCATTGCGCTGTCTTTTCTCTGTCCGCCAAGCAATGTCATAGCGGACCTGGCAAACCGAAACGAACATTTTGTGTTATGCGCGATATGGCAGTTTGAAACAAGAAGGGAGCCGTGTACCTTGGCGGAGGAGGATGAGGCGGTGGATCAGCAGGAGGCTGAGCAGGATGAAGAGGAGAAGGATGAGGTTTGAGTCGTGCGAGGAAGTAATGCAGCAGCATGAGCAGGAGGAACAGGAGGAGTGGGAGGACCAGGGGAAAGCGGGTGAGTGAAAACGGGAAACGGAAGGGGACGACGGCGACGAGGAGGCATTCGGGTCCAACCGTGTGCCCCGCGCTGGGGCGAGAGAGCGCCAGTGGGAACGACGGGAAACGACGTGCCGAAATTACAAGGAGGCAGGCCACTCTGAAAGTCCCCAGAAAGCTCATATGGGAAAGGCGCGGGAGATAATCCAGCTCGTGCCACTCCTTTGTATGTAAGGAGCACTACGCGGAGGGGTGCCGCGCCACTCTCAAGACGTTTCTTGTTTGTCCGGGTAGGAGAGGAACAGGTGTTCATTTGTCAAATTGTACAGTTGTGGAGGAATCGACGGAGGGATAGGGAGGATGGGGGGGGAGGAGGGAGGGGAGGGATGGAGGGGTAGGAGCGAAATAAGGGAGGAATACGAGAAGAGCAAGTATGCATATTTCATGTTGTATAGATGTGGAGGGATGAGGGAGGGATGAGGGAGGGATCGACGGAGGGATGGGGAGGAGGGGGGAGGGGAGGGGAGGAGAGGAAGGAGGGAGGGGAGAGAGGGGAAAAAGGGAAGAGTCCTCCCAGTTGGGTGAGCCTCCTCTCCCTCGCGGTCTGGACTCTGGGGCGCCATGCCGTGGATGCGCGGTCGCATGGGTACGCTCCTCGCGGGACATGCGCGAAAGCGTCCCGTAACCATAAGCTCGCTTAGGTGTTCGATCGTGAGCCTCTTGCTGAACACAACAATCCAGTTCTCGCGACGAAGACCGCCAAACGCCGCCGAAGACAGCGGGAAACCGCCGAAGACCGCGGGAAACCGCCGAAAACCACCGACGACCGCCGAAGACGCTCCGAAGACCGCCCAAGGCCGACGGGCAACAGGGGCACATGGTCGAATGCGCAGGGTCGCGGCCCAAGGGCCTGGCTTGCGAGGCCCTGGACATGGGTACTACTACTTTATGATATTTTGCTTAGCTTGTTCCGCTGGGTAGGTGTTTGCGATGCCACTGCCACGTTTGACGACGCGAGAAGTCGGTTTTCGCTGGCGGGCGACTATTATGCCACCCCCTTGCCAAACCTCTACCGCGCACCGATGGTATTTTTTTATGGTTCGCCGGACGGCCGACGCCCAAATAAAGATCACAAGCTTTAGTATTTCGCATCCATGTCGTTTTGAGGCGGCACCGCTGCCAAATATTTGTTTGCGGCAGCGAACATTATTCTCCTGCGAGGGAATCCTGGAGGCCTCTCTCGGCGCGCAGTACTTGTATCATCTGGTCCACACGTCCGCTCCGTAAGATATGGGTCGACGTTCGCTCGGCGATGCTACGACGTAGGTCCGACGTGAATCCGATGTGACTCCGACGCAAGTCCAACGTGATCCGGCGGGAACCCGACGTGAAATCCGACGCGGATCCGACGTACATTGGGTCTCAAGTCGGGTGTTGCTAGAAGTGCCCCTGGCCCAAGGTGCCCCCAGCTTTTCGCTAGATGTTGGAGCACCTGGGGCCCTCTGAGCCTCGTGAGGGGTGCTCTGGAGGCTGTGGGGGCCTCCTTGGAAATCCTGGGGGCACCTTGGGCCTGGGGCACTTCCGGCAACGCCCGACCATGTTGCCGCGCGAGACCTTCAGGATTTTCCTCAAAGTTCCCCGCCCACGACCTCTCCCGCTATCGAGGCTGCACCTGTCCATCTGCGCGCCGGCCCTGCAGCCTCGCTGGGCCGCGGTGCTGCTGGAGCTCCGTGCCGCCCTGGCCGTGCCCGGGCGACGGGCGCTGCGGGAGTTGGAGTTACAAGGCGCCGTGCGCCGTGCGCCAGCCGCGCGCGGGGTTGGCCCTCCGGTCCCACTTGCAAGCAGTGGCGAAGCGTCTTGGCGTGCCTATAGGCTTACCAAACATTGTTCTAAGAACCTTTTCTGGTTCCCACGACATGTTCTTAGAACATCTGTGGCTGGGGCTGTCTTGTTTTTTTACACGTCGAGGCTATGTTCTAAGATCATTGCTTTTGTTATTAGAACATTGTTGGGTTCTAAGAACATTTCGTGGTAGGCCCAGAGGAATGCTGGGACGGTCGGTCCCTGCTCAACACTTGGCCCACCCGTCCTCGCCTGGTTCCTGCGGCCGCCCTGTTCCCTCTTCGCATCTCCTGCAGCCGGTGAACGCGTACGCCGCGGCGTCCTCAGCTACGAGAGCGCGCGAGCGGATCGCCACTGCCGCGCTGCGGCGAAGCAGTTCCCCTAGCCCAGACCCCCGGCGTCATTATTAGGGGGCCACAAGTGACCCCCACCCTCCCCCTCAGAAATCGTGGGGGGTAGGGGGTAGGGGGGCTCTCGACCCAGTCACCAGGTCCAGCTTTGCATCTTGAGCAGTGCTTGACAGTCCCCGGGGCCCGGCGAGGGCGTGCAGAGGCTGAAAGCAGCCAGAATCCGCCCGTCATGGGCTTTTCACGCGAAGGGGTCCGGGCACTTGGCAGCCGAATGATGCCGCAACCAACCTTAAGTCGGGCCTGTCCCTCTACAGGAGGAATTTTCAGAAATAGTCAAACAATAGTCTGGGGACGCTTTTTTATATAAAGTATAATTGAACCAGTTTGAAGTATTTTCTGGCTATACTTCTTTGTCGTCCAAACCCCTGTAGTGGGACAGGCCCGACCTAAAACTCACCCACGATTGCTGGTAATATCTGATCAGCCACCCTCGAGCGCGTGTCTCGGGATCTGGGGACCGACGCGGAAGTCACCCAGATTTTGCATGATAAAGCATACGAAGAGGCGCGCGCCGCGCAAACCAGCGGGGACAGTCGCCCATGCTGCGACGTCCGCGAGCGTGCAGGTGGCCGCGGGCCAGGCAGCGTGGGTCCGGTTGTCCGACCTGCCACGCGGGGCGGTGTTAAACCCGCGATTCCCTGTAGACGAGGGACGGCGCTGGAAGTTGGAAGAATGGATACGCAAGGAATGGCGCATTCGCCGCGGCATGCACCGTCCCCTCCCCTGGGCGCCGCGCCGGGAGCCAACGCGTCCAGGTACGCGCGATCGACGATTTCACTGCCACGGGCGTTAATGACTGCGCCGCCGCAGCCGAGAGGTGCAGGCGGGCCCTTTCCCCCCCCCCCCCGCCCCTCGCGCGCGCTGTCCGCTCTCCCGTGTCGCCGCGACCGCGCGTAGGGTGGATTCTCTCGATGCTCTGGTCGAGCTGGCGCGGATCGCGGCCGCGGCCGGCACGCCGGTGCTGAGCAAAGAAGATTTCATCGGTGCTTACAAAACGTTGCCCGTGCGAGGCGCCGACCTCCCGTTGCATCAAGAATCGGCTCTGAGACCTAATGCCCTCTTGGACACGGTCCGTGTCACATCCACCTCCAACTCTCCCCTTTGCCTCTCCCCCTTCCTCTGTCCTTCGCCTCTGCCCCTCCCTCTATCCTTCGACGATTTCTCACCCCTTCGTTCTCGTCTTCCTCCTCTCGCCATCCTTCCGCCTTCGTTCTCCTCACTCCTCGTCGTCGTCGCCCCCCTCTTTCCTGGGAGCTGGGAGGGAGGAGGGAGGCGAAGGGAGAGGAGGGGGAGGCTTCGGAAGCTAAGACGAACGAGGGAGGGACGAGGACGGATGAGGATGAGAGGGAGGAGGCCGAGGAGATCGGAGGAGGTAGTAGGATGATGAGGAGGAGGAGGAGGAGGAGGAGGAGGAGGAGGAATAATGTTGTCTTCGCCGCCCGTCGCCATCGTCGTCGCACCAGCGTCGGACGTAGTCGCGTTCGTCGTCTCATTCGTCGCCGCCGTCGCCGCCGTCGTTGTCGCCGTCGTCCGCGTCGCCGTCGTCCTCGTCGTCGCCGTTGCTGTCGTCACTGTCGTCGTCGTCGTCGCCGTCGTCGTCGGGTCGCCCTCGCCCTCGCCCTCGCTCGCCGCTGGCCTTTCTCAGGGGAGCGGCCCGGCCGCCAGCCCCCTCTGGCCCATCGGGGCCCGATGGTCCGATGGTGCTCTCCAAGTTCCGGAGGCGCGAGGCGCGCGGGGGAGGAGGAGGAGGAGGAGTAGGAGTCGGAGGAGTCGGAGGAGTCGGAGGAGGGGGGGGAGGAGGAGGATGAGGATAAATACCAGAGGGAACCTAGCATGCATCAGCGATGCTGCAATACATCCTCCAGTCCCATATCCCATCTCCCCTCCTCCTAAATACTCCCTGGTCCCTGAAATCCTAGAAACGAGGGGGAGAACAAGAGTAGGGTAGAGGAGAGAAGAGAGAGGAGAAAAAAGACATGATAAAAAAGAGAAGAGGAAAAAACAAAAAGGGGATAAAGTACCATAAAACAAACCCATGATGCGCCAATAATGCTGCAATACACCCTCCCAGCCGAAGTCCCCTCCTCATCAGTTTTCACTGCGGGTCCCACACCACATTCAGCAGCCGTTTGGGCTCAATTCGATGCAACCTGCGTGTGTGTGTGGCTGAGGGCCCGCTCTGACAGAGCGCGCCCGTACAAGACCAATCTCAACAAATATTCCCT